TCTAGGCAGGTGCTCTACCACTGAGCCACACCCCAGCCCCTCACTGGGGGATTCTAGGCAGGTGCTCTACCACTGAGCCACACCCCAGCCCCTCATTGGGGAATTCTAGGCAGGTGCTCTACAGTGGAACTTCACTTCCAGTGCCCCCTGGGGATTAGCTAGCCTCTTGGGTTCTTTGTAAGTTGTGCTGAGTAGCAAAGGAAACATGCTAAGTGCCCACTTAGGGAATAAGCCAGTGAAGTTACCCTGAGTGTAGACTTGATTCCAGCTATCCATGGGCTCTGAAGGGACCCGACACAAGAAACCTCAGCTGCACTTAGAAGCCTCACAAGCCCATCGTCCCCAAGGAGGAACATGTGTTGTTGTTTGACAAAACCTTCCCTGGGGAGACACAACACACATGTCTCCTCACCCCAGACAGGGGTCCTACGACAGAACAAAGTCCAGATACCACCAAAGTCCACCTTGGTGAGGGGTTACTTAGAGGAGTATCGGGGAGAGGTCACTTGATAGGAGCAAAAAATGACTCAAACGCAGCCGCATTAACCAAGGCCCACCCCAGCATGAGCGACAGCTCACACGCCTGGGAGCCTAGAGCACACTGCACACCCTGCAGGAATCTCAGCAGGCTGGAGAATGTCCTTTCCAAGTGACCCAGGTCTTGGAGTCGGAGAATGGCTTTGGCAGGGAGGAGCCTAGTGAATATGGTCAGTTTCGGGGACTTCCTGGAGCTATTTTGAGTTGTTTACCTTTGTGCTTAAGGAGCATCCTGCGGGATGGGATGTTTCAATCTGGAAAGAAATTGTTACACAAGGTGTGTCTGCAACTAGGACCTCTCTTCTATGTCATAGGGACATGAGCCCAAGATCCTCGGCCCAGAGGTGATCCTGATGTCACAGGCCTTGTCTCTCTGGGGCATAGAGGACAGTGTTCCCACCAGAGGGGGAGCAGGGCACGTCACATGCTGCGGCCCTCGCCCCCAGCCTGAATGGTACTTAGAAGGGCAGGTCACTCTCCACAGCCCAGCCCTAGAAGCAGCAGCAGAACCTTGTTCCCACTGGACCACGCGAGTGTCTGGTTCCACATACCATCTTGCTGGGCTTCTCTTCCTTAATGGGGATCTGCCATGAACTTAACTTAGCACACCTGCTGTGGGCACAAAGTGCTCACCAGTATGCAGAGCAGGAATGAGGACAGTATGGGAGAGAGATCCCCCCTCTTTTTTTGACTTTTCCAGATAAGATTTCTCTTTTGTATCCCTGGCTGTCCTGGAACTCCCTCTGTAGACCAGGCTGGCCTTGAACTCAGAGATCTGCCTGCCTCCTAAGTACTGGGGTTAAAGGCTTGTGCTACCATGCCCAGAGAGAGTGGCCTTTTTGGCTCCCAGCCCCCGGCCCTGGCCTCCCATGCATGGGGCACACTCTGGAGTGCCCCAGACCTCAGAGAGGTCTGCCTGGCCAGGGTCTCCATCAGGGCCTGTCTCTTCATGGCTCACTCAGCGTGGTGAGGTTTTCCAACAGTGCCACTGAGGCCTCTCAGAATGCCCAGCATGCTTCACATTGTTTCTTCTTTCTTTCAGAAAACGAAAAGAAAAGAATTTCACAAACCTCCTCCCACATCACCGAGTAAGTATGACCAGATAGACGAACTGTTCCCTCATTCCCACCGCGACTCTGCAGTGTGGCAAGGATGGTCTTTCCCCTGGGTCCCAGGGAAAGGGAAGGATGTTGCTTTTCTGGTGAGGGGACTCAGTGGTGCAGCTGGAGGGGAGAACTCTGATGTTGGGTGTCACTGTCACCATGCTCCAGAACTCAGTGGCCCATGTGTCAGTCTGTGATGGAGTCTCACTGACAAGTGTGAAGTCCTACACTTGTTGTCCCAAAACTATAGGGACTTTTCTGTGTGTGTGTGTGTATGTGCGCGCGCACATACGTGTGAGCATATGACTTCTCTGTTTTTTTTTTTTTTTTTTTTTT